CAGAGCTGCCACCACTGAGCTATAGTAGCGAGGTTTAGCAAAGACGACGCGACGTCAAAGACGACGTGAAAATGGCGTAAAAATGGCGTAGGCACATCCATAGATGGGCATGTCACGCCATTTTTACGCCATTTTCACGTCGTCTTTGACGTCGCGTCGTCTTTGCTAAACCTCGCTATTATAGCTCAGTGGTCAGGCCCTATTCTGTGATTAGGGCCTGAACTTCAGGTTACTTAGGTTGTAGTTTTAAGACCAAAGTGAGGGAGTGAGATAAACTCGGCTAGCTAAGCTAAGGCATCAAGCCTTTTTTGGGCCGCAAACCTTTTTTCAACACCAAATGTGAAATTAACCCCACGTTACCAAATCGTTGAACAATAATGCTGGATATCCTGGGCAAATGTGCTTTATTTTGGTGGATATCCGTGGCAAATCTGCAATACCATGAGGGATATCTTGGGCAAATGTGCAATATCAGAAGTGAATAGAGGGTAAGTTTAAAGTATTAGAGAGTTTAGTGCATAAAGTATTTGGGGTGCATAGGGTAATAACCGAATATAAGAAACTCGGATATACTGAAATAACCAAATGAAGCGAAGTTGGTTATATGAAATAACGAAATAAAACGAAGTTGGTTATGTGAAATAACCCAATATAACGAAGTTGGTGATGTGAAATAACCGCATGTGTCAAAATTGATTTTGTGAAAAAATTAAATATCGCAAAGTTAGTTATATGAAATGACCAAACCTGACGATAGTGGTTATTAGATAAAAAAACCCGACCTGTCTAATTTTTTTATGTCTTTGGTTTTTGCTTTAATGATTTCAAATAACCAAAGAAAATATATTTAAAGCATCTTTTGCTATAAATTTTGTATTTGTACATCGCCTGCTAATGTTTGGTTGATTTTAACCATAAGTTTTAACACAGGTTTCAAAGTAGAAGGTGTCCATGTGTAGCTGCAATGGACGGAAGAAGCAAAGTTCGGAAATTGTCGATACACATCGGAACCGCAGTGTTTGTAAATGAAATACAAAATGGCGTCATTATTTATTGCATGTGGTTTTTAATAAACGAGGAAATAAAGCTGGAAATCTTCGTATTCTAGTAGCAATGCCAAATTTAACTACAAATCAAAAGATAGCTATAGCTTTGAGCGTACCTGTTGCTGGAGTTTTATTTTATTTTTTACTAAAATGGGCTCAGGAAGATGATGAATTTGGCGAAGATACAAATTATGAGGAAGAGGAGTTTGTGTCAAGTGCTGATCTGGTGTCTGAGTTGCAGATATCACAGTCTCATGTTGGGGCTGTTATAGGTACTGTGTCGTGAATTGTGTTTCTCGTTGATAATCTATAATCTGATTAAAGAATTTATACGTAATACGACTGTTTTAAAATATATGAAGTCAAAATACAAGCTGCATCCACTATGCAGCATCTGTATTGTACATGATATACATTTTGCCAATTGTGTTATGGGCAATGTCCATATTCATGTTATCACGAAAAAAGGGTAAAATTTGGGGATTCCACTCCAAAAACACTTAAAATAAAATATCAAATCTTTATATACTCTTGATAATTTCACAAATTTGCAAATAATTGCACAACAGTTTACGAAAAAGGTTAAATTGAAAAACTTAACAGGCTCGGAAATTATAGCAAAATAAAATTTTTTTGTTAGATTGGACTCCCTGCTAGTCAAATGTCTTGATTTTGCCTCTTGGCCTCTCAAGTAGTTTGGCTTTTTTGTGTCTATAAGTTAACAGTTGACAAGAATTTTTTAAATATTTGGCTTTTCTCATTTGACCTCTTTAAGCTCTTTTGGTAGATTTTGGCAATTTACCAATGTTGTTAACTCGGAGAGTACTTTATTAATGATGTGCCAAAGCCTATTATTCTATCGGCAGGCAGGCTGCATATTTATTGTAAAATTTGAAAACTATTTGAACTTTATTACTCGAAATATTATAATGGAGCCTTCAAACCTTCGGATTTTGACTGCTGTGTTTTATTTTATAATAATAATGTACAATACATTGTAAACAATGAATGAAATTTATCTTGTGTCATGCGATAGTGTAAAACAACTTTAAATCACATTTCATATTTTATCATAAAAATGACAAAAACTCGAGAATATTCATTTTTGCCACGGTGAAAATGTTACAGTGTTGACGTTAAAACCCACCCCACCTAAAACGTTATTTTGACGTTTTGTGTGGCAACATGAATATGAACGTTGCCCCTTATGTTGGAACATTAAAACATTTGTAATTCCTCAATGCAAGACAGGTTGTTTTTGAAGAATAAAATTGTGCTTGTAATTTTAACTACATAATTTATCTAGGGCGAGGAGGCAGTGTTATAAAACAGATACAAAAAGAAAGTGAGACAAGAATTAATTTTAAAGATGACGATGAAGAGTCTGAAGATGAACTAACAGAAGAGGCAAGGCCTCGGATTCGGACAATGGTGATCAGAGGTTCACGAGAGAGAATCAAATATGCTGAAGTTCTGATTAAGAAGATAATTGACGAGCAACCAGTGTTGGAGACAATCATTGTTGAGGTACCACAGCGGGTTATTGGAAGAATCATTGGGAAAGGTGGAAGGACTATTCGACAGTTATGCAGAATTTCAGGTACTTGTCCTGCAAGCTTTCACAGACCAGCTAATGTTTTAAGTCTTTATTCCATTTTTAAGTTTTTATTCCATTTTTTTACATGTTGCTGAAATATGCTGTAGTATTTAATACACCAAGATGTGTGACTTGATGTTAAGATTTTGAGTGGAGTAACAATATAAAAACATATTGTGTTCAACATATTCTAGGTGCAAAAATCAAAATTAATAGTGAAAATGAGATTGGTGAGTATCGACCATGTGAGATTATTGGAACTGAGACACAGATTGCATGTGCCAAACAACTGATTGATGAAAAAATATCTGAAGACAAAGAATTCAGAGCAAAGAGAAAAAGTTCACAGGAAGGTACACTATTTAAATGTTACTTTTATTCATAATTATCTTGTTAAGCCTTGCATGTCTACATAGGATTTTTATGTGACAATTTTTATTTGCCTGTGACCCTGTGTAGACGAGGAAAATTTGGGCAATTTTTGTGTGGCAAATACAGTTGCTGAAAAAGCTAGCATGTCAGCTTTTATGTGACAAATAAAAGTTGTCACATACGAATAATTGCTCGTGTAGATTACTAGATAAAATGTCATTTTTTTCTCCCGTCACATTTGTTAATGTGTGACTTAGTGTCAGCGCCTTGTTTTTCTGTGCGAGATACCACTGTTCACAGATAATTTTTAAACAGGAATCAAGTGCATCAACAATTATTTGTTGTCTCATTTACACGACCAAATACATTTCTCACATAAAAATTGCTTGTGTAAAAACAGTGCTTTAAGCAACATTGAAAGCCTAGCTTATCAGTTGTCATTTCTCGAAGTGCTATAACCTTTGTTAAAAATAAATGCAAACCAAATCAAAAGTAACCAAGTGTAATACCGCTCGAACTCCACTTCAGCCTCTTAAGTGCTGCTATTAGTTATAATTTGGGCCCACAGTAATTGTCTCACACTGTTTTGGTCACACTGCCTGTAGTCATGTATATTTTCCTTGTTCTTGTTTTGTGTATTGTAATATGGCGAAACTAATATTAAATAAATAAATAAGGAAAGAGCATTGCACCTATTTTTAGTCTGTAAAATAAAAGATTTTATTTGACATGAAATCAGAAACCCTTCTTAGTATATTAAAATATATTTCAATGTAGTTGTATGGATTTTTTACAGCAAAGGACAAGTTGACATTTGCACATTTACCTGTGCATGGTGAGTACTTTGGGGTATATGTGTCTGCAATGGACAAACCTGGGCATTTCTGGATACAGAACATCACGACAGATGCCAAATTACTCGACAACCTTGTTGAAGAAATGACTCAGTTTTATGGAGATAGGGGTCAAGGTCACAGGTTGATACCACCCAAAGTTGGCGACTTGTGTTGTGCAACGTTTCAGCATGACGAGGCATGGTATCGAGGTGAGGTCGTCCAAGTTCTGGAAGATAGAAGTGAAATTCGGATTCATTATCTTGATTTTGGTGATACTGGTGTGATCTCTATGGCAAATGTCAAGGAAATAAGGTCTGGAAAATAAAATTGTTTTTAGGCTAATGTACTTGTGTTGCCCAGTGGTGTTGCCACGTTCTATCGCATTCCCATTAAGCCTTTGCGCTCCCATTGTTTTTCTGGTCATCGGTTTATACCAGCTGATATTTTGTTAGCTGATCGGTTTTTACCAGTTTAAATAAAGAAGTTATTATTATTATTTCCACTGATCTCTATTCCCAACTGATGCGACAAGGGACGAGGCAGCTATGTGTTGTACATATAGTTGAGATTCTCATTGACATCTCTCTAGGATGAGCTCTTTGCTGCTGGGTCTCAATAGTGTGTGTATTAGAGGGATGTGACTGTATTGTATTTAATTAATGCCAAGTTTCCCTTTTGTTGATTGCACTGTGTCCTGATTTTGAAACTGAAAACATTAGGTAATATCAGGAATTCTGGTGTAGAAATATGATATTTTCACCTTGGAAAATTTATTGAATTTTTTTATTGGTGTTAACAGGAAAGAATTTTGTGATCTGCCATTTCAAGCTGTTGAAGTTTATCTGGCAAATATCAAACCAAAAGGTTGGAGCATGTTTAGTAATTATCATGATTTACTGGAGGGTTGCACCCTCCCTAAAAATGATCTCTGGATTATTTTTGGAGACAAACATTAAAAGTCATTTTCTGAGCTCTGATTACATATTTTCATTCAGGTGAACACTGGAGTCAGGAAGCATGTGATTTATTTGAGAAGCTCAGTTGTTGTGCTCAATGGAAAGTACTGATGGCTAGAGTTGTGTATTATGATGATAGTGGAGTACCTTGTGTTGAACTTATTGATACAAATAGTGAAGAAGTGAGTTGTACATTTTTTAAATATTGAACCAACTGGACACTGTAATAACCGCTTTGTCAACATGTAGGATGTGAACATTGAGGAGAAACTGGTGGAAAAAGGATTTGCTGTTTTTAAAGAAAAAGAAATATCAAATCCTGAAGTGGAGGATAACAGCAAGGTAGGAATTATATTTCAAACATTTTAAAGTTATGCACTGTCTTCGTTTAGTCATAATTAAATTAAAAATTGACAGTGCAGAATAAATGAAGAATAATTTGTGACTTTTTCTCTTGCAGGTACCGAGTTCCTTCCAATCTTCTGATCCTGTAGTCGACCAAATAATTGCAGAACAGAAGGAGATCGCTTTGGAACAAATGAACGAACAATTTCCAAATCCTGCCTTTGAAAACGTTAGCTTCGATATGAACGAATCAGAAAGCTTTGAATTTCCCTCTCCTATAACTCCATCAGACCAGGATAACGCCAATGACAAAGCAGTTGTGAGTGAGACCATCATAGCACCAGAAGAACATCAGGTCGTGTCTTGCGCTGATATTTCTCAACTGGAAAGTTTATTTGGCATGTTAAATGTAGAGACCTCAATGACAGATGGGGCCGAAACAGACGGAATGTTTGAGAACTTGATAGAGGAACCTGATTTAGACGAGAAAGTTTCCGAAAACACTCAAACGCAAGAAGGCAGTGTTTTTTCAGAACGTTACATTTCCGAGAGCCTCAGTCAAGAAGGCGAACTCGAAATAGGAGAAACTATCAGCAACTCTGAGAATCCCAGTCAAGAATACGAACTTGAAAGTCCAGAAATTCTCAGCTCTTCTGAGAAAATTCAAGAAAATTTCAAGAAACATGATCCAACAGCAAACCAAGTTTTAAGGAATTTAGATGCACGTGAGACAGTTTCGGAGATTCCCGTTACAAGTTCCGTAAATGTACAGGAAATGTTTATGGAACCCATAACAATTGCAAGTGTTCTTTTTACTGAACATGTTGTTCCTGAAACTACTCCTGAGCAAGACATGTTTGATTCAACAACGGAGTTAAAGGATTATGACAATGATAATTTATCAATGAGTAAAGACTTCACAAATGATCATCCCATCACGTCCACTCCCGAGTATCGTCCGAACCACCATTCGGAAATCAACGTGATATCCACTTCCACTCCTAACCAAGAAGAAAATGGCGGTACATTGGATAACGTCCTTCACCGACCAGATTACGACCCCGACCGAGTTGATCACGGCTTACGTCGGAGTTATTCCGAAGATCTTACTGATGGAACTCTTACTGATGGTAGTTTGAATAAAAGCAATTCGGAGATCACCGTATCACCGAGAGAAGATGAAGATCACAAGACCCAGTTATCTTCACGAAGTTTGGGCAGTCTTTTATCAGCTCCGCCTAGAGGTAGGGTACACTACATAGCGCTGGTCTTCCTAGAGACCTCATATTGATTATCCATTATTGATTCATTATTACCATACGAAGATACTTAAACTAACTTTATTTATGCTGGATAGACTGATAGTTTATCATATCAGTTCTAAACCGTTTTCCCTGTAGGTTCAATAGAGATCATCGTCCCTTGTTGATCCAGTGTAGAAAATCAGCTGTTGTTTGACATAGTCAAACAGGAAACATTCTTCTGACATGTGACTGAGGCGTGATTGAGTGACGAGTGTTTAGGGTTCAAGCTAAACTATATCATGTTGTTTTAGGTAGTAAACGTGTGTTAGCGGCAAACTTTGGTCAAATTCCGAGCAATGGTAAGCATGAGAGTGATGACAGTGATGATGGTGACTCGGTCTATTTGAGTGCTAAAGAAGACTCTGACTCAACTGGATTTCTTAGCGCCATTGGTTCAAAAAGCAACCTACGATTTAATGGTAGGTTGGTATTGTGGGCGGATTCTACGGTTTGGATACCCGCGAACTTGAGGGGGCAGTAGGGATAGCTAGCAAGAGGGGTGGAGGGTTGGTTGCTCCGTGTGCCTGGTTTGTTGGTATCATTTTCATCACCCAATTTTATTCAAATTTTTCCAGACACCGACAGTGACGCTACTCCGTCGGGATATCTCAGTGAACCTGAGGATGACTCCATCGAGATAGCTGCTGATGTGGATGATCAAACAAGGTATGTCAGTAATATTCGTAAGGTATAGGTGACTTTCACCCCAAAGGTTTCACTGTCGTACAATTTTCTGAATCATTTACATTTAGGTTAGACACGACGTTGTTGGTGGAAAGGTTAGAGCAATATGCAGAGAAGTAATGACTGTAGTTTGACAATTTGGTCGCTGGAGCATGCGTTATCTCTCTTTTCGTAATCGGAATATGCAGTGTTTTCCAATCAGAGAATAGCGATAAATAGTGAGTGTAGAGGTCCATCGATTACAGAAAAATCTCAACAGTGACGGCTAAAAGCCGAGACTAAACCTTAAAGTATACTAAGTATTTTTAGGTTACTGTAAATTAAGAGTTATTTGTATTTAAAAGTTGTTTTAGTGTTATGCCTTATTGGGAAGAAACCTCGTAGAAAAGTGTCTTGTAAGGAGTAAATGATTTTAATCATTTAAATATAAAGCTACGAAGAACATTGTTCAATTTTCCACTTGCGCGGCAGAAACTTCTCTAATAACAACAGGTGACATCAACAACAAACAAAAAACGTTTAAACCGGTGGCGTTTTCATACAATCAGTTATGGCGTCTTACAAATCATGCGTCTTCACTCTTTTCTTCGTTGGTATTTTACTGAAGAGAATCCGTAGCAAAGAATACATCCTTTCTAAACTAAACCAATGTACACGTGTGCCTGATGAACCTCCATGTAACATTTCATTTAACCACTTCGTGCCTGACTACGCCTCACAACGCTATGAAATTATGATGGAAACTATATACAGAAAATCCAAAGATATAATGCGCTTGGATAGTCGACCGCAGTGCGTTAACAGTTACAAAGACTACCTCTGCGCACAACTTTTCCCGAGATGCAGTAAACATCAAAACCCAAGGTTTGAAAATCTGGAAATGCAGAGGTGGGTTGTTCACGATCCTGATATTAAAATGAAGTGTTGGAAGATATTTGCCGCATGTAACTCGCGCGTCGCAAGCCGCTTCATGAGTAGCGATTATTTTCTCTGTGACCATCTTACATACACACCTCTTGGCTGGGAGAGTGATCGATGTGTTCCGTACGATTTAGACACGAGATGTGATGAACAACAGTATGGAAAGGTAGGAATTACTGTGATTTAGTTACGTATTATATACAACCTCACATTCTGTTGTGGGGTATTTGTCAATGGCTGCGTGAAAAGCAAGTGTTAAAGCCGCTTTTCTTCTGATTAAAATGTGCACAAGAATTACGAATGACGAGATTGAACTTCGATTTAGTGTGCAAATTGTGAGCTACCATGACTGAACTGCCGTGAGAGAATATGCCACCTTACATATTTCGTCAGTATTCGCTTGTAATTTTAAACAAAGTATGTGAATTAAAGAGTAATTTGTTGTTTTCATGTCTAGCTTCCAATGTGGTTTCTCAACTATCATGATCAAAATCTCATCCAGTATTTGAACGTGACCATACACCGTCTAAACCACACCTTGCCCAAAACATGTCGACAGAGACTTCACAACATACACTGTCGTCACCCATGGTGCTCTGCAGATGGTCAACATATTGTGATCAATTTCACTCGACAACAGTGTGATAAGTACTTGGAATGGTAAGTGATGTAGGGTATACGTCACATGGTCATATTACATCATTTCTTCCTTATGACATACTGTGTTATGACGTCACATGATATACACCATGACTTGTTGTCACATGACTTATGATGTCGCATGACTATGACGTCATTTTTTGAATATTTTCAGTGCAAGATTTGTTCCTGGAGAAGTGAATGTGGATGCTATCTGTATATTGTTTCCATCTTCCACTCTTACGTTGATGTCAAGTCTAGCACTTGTTGTAACCGCCGTAATTATTCATGGATTCATCATTGTGTGATCTGGAACCAAGCCATTGAAAAGACAAATACCGACTTGTAACTCCTTCAAAGCTCAACAAACTATCAGTATCAATTTGAAGCATCATCGCGTAATTCACAGACACCAAAGTTAAAATAAGAGCCTGAAAGGATTTTTTACAGCCCTTAGCGGATAATTTAGATTTCTATGTAATATTAGGTAACTAATGTTATATTAGGTAACAATAGCAAGTAACAGTAGTTCGGTATTTTTTGAACTGCTTACTTTAATTTATATCATGTTACTTTTTGTTCTAGAGTAACTAGTGTAGAAATAAAACTAGGAATTAAATGGACTTTTCGCAGGGTGACTAATCAGACCAGAGGCAAGCTACAGCCGTAGGAGTGAAACTTTTCTAAATTTTTTTCTTGAAATGCGGTAAAAACGCGTTGCGTAGGAGCAATGCAGGTATTGTGAGGTTGTGGGACCGCCTCTGAGCTAGGCACAGAGTACTACTGACCAACTAGTCTAGATATGTACGCTGCCTGTTACTTTCAGCATATTACTACATGGTGGATGCATAGGTGGATGCCGCCGGCTTTAGTCTACAGGGTTTACTCTTCATATTTTTTAAGTCGACTTAGTCCTTATTACATTCATTTCTTGTGTCATTGTGTTCAAAAAAGATGCGTTGTCTTGACTGGTTGTTTCCAAACATTTGTAAATATTTTGAAAATATTTATCTTACAACCTGTAGTAAATAATAAAAATGTATCCCATGACATAACAGTAGTTTGTTGGAAAGCACAATCAAATATTGAGCATCGCCTCGTGTTTTAAAGTATTTTTCATTACAAAACACTAAATATTTGTGAAATCTGTTGTGCACCTGCACTCGCGTGTTTGTCCCGCGTGAGAAGCTTCCGTGGGTAACTATAGTAACAGCTTCAATTATAGATTAAATGTAAACAAAGAGATCGTAAAACCAGGGCAACACAAACTACAGATTTTCACAACAAAATTCCTTCGTTTCACAGCAAATGACATGAAGATCGGTACACGCTCAGATTACAGGATCTTAACGGGCGAGTTATCGGCTCTGGCTGGACTGTGTGGCAACGATTATATATGTATAATATTTTAGTAACTTTTTACAAAAATATTTATACTACGTGAGTTAATAACACTGTAATGTGTATAGTCCTGGAGGACAGGTAATCAAGGCGTAAAAACTAGTACTGTACGTATTTAATTTCAACAGTTCATTCCTGTCAGGCGGTTCTGTGGAATTGATTTTAGCTTGTGTGTCTTGACCCCTGTCTACGAAGATAGCTGGTGTTGGCAAATATTGAAATCTCGTAGTGTACATTATAAATTTTTGGGGGTGTTACTGTAGAATGGGTTGTGGTGCTAGTAAAATTGTTGAACAGCAAGCAGCGTTGAATAATAATGGACATGCTCAAGAAATTGTAAGGAAATCAAGTGTGGTTGAAAAGCTTACTGAACAAAATGAACCTGTTTCAACTCCACCAGAGAAACAGGCTCAACCAGTTCAACAAAAAGCTCCAGAGCCAGAAAAACGAGTTTCAACAGCAACTTCACCAGAACCTAAATCAGTTGCGGCCGAACCAGTTCAGGAAGAACCAAAGAAAGATGAACCATCCAATGAAAAGCCAGCACCAACTTATACAGAAGAATCATTACAAGACGTTCTGGAATTAGAAAAGAAATTAAGTTTGCTGGAAAGCAAGGGTGTAGTAGGACAGTATCAAACACAACATAAGTTGCTTGTTAGTCTTTATCCTGAGTTACAAGCGGCGCAGAAGAAGGTGGAAGCTCTCAAACAACAAACGTATGTGGATTGTTTTGATCGACTTTCAATTATTTATCCCTACTTTTTAACAAAGGCCTGGGTCCCTTACCCTGGCCCAGAGGTTTTTTAGGTTTGGCAAAACAATACCCTCTGGTTCCCTCTACTTTTCACAATCAATTTTACTGAAATCAGCTCTTTCTTTCCCCTAATCCTTTTCTCTCAATTGCTGCCCTCCTAAGCTACCTCACTTCTATTCTCCCTTTCCCCTTCATTTTGCCCCCCCCCCCCAGTTTTTACCTGTAATTCCCTTTAATCTCCCTGCCTCCTTTTCTCTTGCTCTCACCTACTTCTCACTTGCTGCTTTACTCCTCTTTTCCCTTACACCCTTGTCTACCTCACCTTCCTATCCTCATGGCAGGACTACCCTTTCCCAACTTAACTTGAAATTGTACCTTCAGTAATTCAAACTTTGGATATTTTAGGGTGAAAGAGTACAGAGATGTAGCTGTCATGCAACATCCAAATGTCAGAGCCATGTTCTCAGATGTCTACCAACTACAGTCACAGATGGCAAAGGAACAACAAGAATACATGGATGCATTGAACCGTCAAGAAGTTGCTGAGAAGGAATTAAAAAGCCGACAAGAAGAATACAATGCATTGTACGCTGAGGTCGAGTCCTTGCAGAAGGAATGTGAAGAGCTGCAGAGAATACGAGCAGAACGTGAGAAAAAGTTGGATGAAATATTTGATGGGAAATATGGAAGTGATCTTGAAGGCCAACTGGAGGCGGAAACAGACTTACTCACAGAACGTAAAGAGATTATCAGTAGAGCACGAAATTACTGGAGCAATGCTAAAGTTTTGATGGAACATGCTGTGCAACAACTTGCTTATTCAACGAGGAGATGGGCCCAGATCAATACTGTGAATCAATCCATGGTACAGGTATGGAAGAAATATCCTCCTTGTCACATCATTTCCGGATATTACTTTAAAACGTTGCCCGAAATGCTTCACTGTTTTGTCCACAAAAGCTAACAACCATTAATTCTGCTAAATTTGTAAATGTTTAATCTTTTCCAGGCGCGATATTCGATGGTGGCAGAAACAAGGAACTATTTGATAGCTGCTTCACAGAACATCACCAACACGCATCGTTACTTAAGCAATGTCAACATACCGTATTGTAACAGTGAGGATTTGAGGGTGAGAGCATAATAATTAATGTAGACGTCGCTGATGTGCGAGAAAAAATATTCTGTGGAACTATGTATAGAGCAAACATATACTGTAGTACTAACAACACTTGCAAATATCCATGACAGTAGTTTACAATCTCATATTCTAAATATTTTAATCTAATCTTCTCTTAAGGTGTTGAATAATGCAATAGCCACAATCTTCAACGATATTATGAACCGAGACTCGTACATGCGAGCACTTCAGACCTACAGCGCTCTGAACAACAAAGCAAACTCGCTTCATCAATGGATCATTCTGGTGCTCGAGAAGACCATTAATAAAGACCTGCAACAGATTGTTCCATTGTGGCAAGAAAAAATACTGGCCCTGAAACGGGAACGAATGAGGTAGGAGCAGTGTTTATTTTATTTACCCTTCGTAACTGTGACCGGGATTCCTGCAATATACACTTGTATGATTATAATTTCACCTCCCTCCATGGGAGAAGAGTGCTTCCAATTTTATTCTAACACCGGACGTTTCTCCCGGGTACTTCTGTTTTTTCCTGTAGTAACACTGGGCCAGGTTCTTACTGGACCTTAAGGAAAATAGTTAAGCTGATGTATAGTTTCGATTTCCTCCTGTGGTGACACTAGACTAGTAGGACCTCTAACAAGAATAGTTTAGAACTGATAGAGCTATCTGGTATAACAAAGTTATTCTGTGGAACGCGGAGGATATTCTTGTAAGACAAGTGTGTATATCTAACATGTTCTCATTTCCAGACTGATTCACGTGAAGTTACGAGAACTACAAGGTAAAGACGTGAGCGAAGACATACCTGATGAAGTACTGTGGTTGCAACATTCACAAGAACAGATTCCTGAAGTCCAGAGTGACACTCGCATTGCTGAACCTGATACAGTCTCGCTGAAAGATGACAATCTAGAAGACATCCCATCTCCACCGACCACAGAAAGAAGACCCTCCCATGAGAAAGATGTCTCTTCAGAAGGAGATTCTCTTCCCACGACCGAGGGTGTTGCTCCTTCTGACACTCCTCCATCTTCCACCACCCAGGGTGAGGTTGCCCCACCTTCCGAGGGAGATATCCCTCCACCTTTGACCACCCAAGGAGATGTCCCACCATCCTTCACCACTGAGAAAGATGCAGAAGACACTAAGAAAGCAAATGGAACAACAGAAGAATCCAGTGGTGTGGACAGTCAAGGTTTGTGAATGCTTTTTCAAATATTTTATAGGAAATTTTTACTACCTTTCTGAAACTTTCTGAAAATTGTCGAAATGCATTTCTTTCATCAAAACAGTTAGTTTCGACTGATAAAACATGTTTTAAAAAATTTTGGTCAAATGCAAAGGAGGAACCACAGGCATACCTAGGCTGACCAAAGGGGGGGGGGGGGACCACAGGAAATTCTCTCCAAAAAGTGCCCCAAACCACTCCTAACTTTCTGAAAATTGTTGAAAAGCATTTCTCTCATCAAAACAGTTGGTTTCGACTGATAAAAACATGTTTTAAGTGGTGATTTATTCGTGTGAGATTTCAAATCCTCGGCTGGTGTGGATTTCACGGCCTCGCATTTTGATCAAATTTCGCGGACTTGAAATCTAGTCCAGTCCTCATAGTCGATTTGAAATATCACGTAATTAATTCCTTTTAAAAATTGTAATTCGTTCTAACGATAGTTCATTGTGAATATCTAGAAATAGCGGAGCTGTTGGAAACGGCAATGAAAGTGAAGCCATTGATAGAACTCGCTCCAGTTCCTAATATGGATGCTCTGTTTGGCAACATCGAAGAATTGAAGACGAAGTACGAGGAACAGGTCGCCCAATTCTCTAAAGCGCAAGACGTGAATAAAGCGCGTCTCGATCAGGCCTTACAAGAAAAACTGCAGGCACGGCGGATACGAAAACAAGCCATTGAACTTCAAGATACGTCAGAATTGGCGAAAGGAGTGACTTCTAGCTTTGGGAAGTTATTCTAACAAGATCGTACGATTAGACTGCTAAATTACAGATTGAATATGTCCTAATGATAATTTAGATGTAAACCAATCACATGCAAAGTTTGTTCTGCAGCACGAAGCACCCACGAAACACGCGAAGTCAGGGATAAAATTATTAATACCTTAATGTCAGGGATAAAATTATTAATACCTACGGCTCGCAGATTCAATACTAATGTTTTAAATCTAGTCTGCAGGCGGGCTACTATGAATTGTTTATATATAAACATTTCTACTTTATTTATTTTCAAGAGGGCAATACCGACATTCTGTCACATGATTAGCAAACCCTCCCCCAAAAGAGCGGCTGCTACGCAGGCTACATGACTCATTCTTGACGAGTCGTTTTATAATCATATATGTAAATATTTGATTCAGTATAAATAAATATTCAGGTAAAAAAGGTGTTAGATTTGTATGTATATATGTACTAGATAAAACATGAGCAGCCGATCTGTATCTAATATACATATAGTATCCAGACAGACATCCATAGTATAATACACCCTTTTCATAAATGGCTGCCAATTAAAAATTATTTTATGTTCATATAAATTAGCCCAACTAGCCTCGTTTCTGGGTAGAAATTCCTTTGAAATCTTAACATGAGTACGAGGCTAGTTGGGCCAATTTGTATGCACATAAAAGAATTTTTAATCGGCAGCCATTTATGAAAAGGGTGTATACCAGACAATTAAATCGCCTGATCTATACAGTCGCTGATCTTTACAGTCAATGATCTATACAATCAATGATCTATATAGTCAATGATCTATACAGTCACTGATCTATATAGTCACTGATCTATATAGTCACTGATCTATACAGTCACTGATCTATACAGTCGCTGATCTATATAGTCACTGATCTATATAGTCACTGATCTATACAGTCACTGATCTATATAGTCACTGATCTATACAGTCAATGATCTATTATTACAAACAGCCATTGGTCCAAGTATGCTAGCATAATTAACAATGGTAAAAACAATGAACATGTGCTGAGAAGAAGCTAGTTTCGTTACTTGGTATTATAATTAATTACCTCGGTATATGATTTTTCTGAAAATTTGAGCGGCCATGTTCGAGCCAGAATAAACTTGGTTACATGAAGTAATTAATGAACGTGAAGACAGACAGACATCCAGTGCTTAATACAGCTCAGAAAACTTCGGATTTTCCCGATGTTCGCCCGAAGAGTATATTTCTATAAATTTGAATTATTTTAGAAATAATACTACATATTTAATATTTTTGTTGATTTTAAAATGTTTAGCGGGCAAATGTTGTGTTACAGTCGTGGTTGGGTCCAACAATATCAGAGCAACACCATGTGGAAAGGGCAATTGCTAGATAGTATACTTAAAAATAAGGTTTCCGTTTTTATATCAATTTTTAAAGTAAGTTAGGGTTAGGTTAGAGTTAGGTTAGGATCAGGTTAGGGTTAGAGTTAGGTTTAGTATTAGGCTTAGGGTTTAGTTTTGCGTTAGGATAGTTTTTTCTACGTTATAAAAACGAAAACCTTATTTTGAAGTATACTATCTAGCGATCACCATGTGGAAAGTGAAAATAGCGAAGGGTAAAGAGATTAAAATTGGATTTTAGCGAGCTGGAGAGCCTGTTCGCAGGCTAGATTTTAGCGTATTTTTGAAATATTTTACCACCAATAACACCTGTGACGTCAGTTTGATATTTAATACGGGACTTCACCTTCGCTCATTAAATTTGGCGGGAAAATTTGTAATGTTTGGAGAAGACAAGATGGTGCCGCTTGCTTCGTGTCATCAAAGGGCATTTTTGTTCACAAATACCCGCTTATTTTACGTTATAACGACTGGCTAGTTTTGGAAATTATAACTCAATGGACAGGGAAAACGATTCTGTAGTAAAGAGAAAAATTCGTGCAGTTATTGACTTTTATTTGTGATGTTTAATATTTGTTGTGAAAGACGGCCGGAAATTTCGCTACATCGCTGTACTGGTTTAAAAAAATTCTACTGGAAATTCGACCATGGATAAAGAGACAACGCTTACTGAAAGAACAGCCTGTCTTAATGGTAAGTTTTTAAAAGGTTTTCACTTTTCGGTATTTATATTTTTTATAGTTTAAAGATGCTGTATTCAATTCTGTAAGGTTTGTAATGTTACTAATGTATAAAACAAACGTTTTGTTTACATTTTGAACTGTTATATTTGTAAAATATGATATACTAACTGACTTGTACTGTAAATGAATATAAACTCTACGTTTCAGTTCGAGAAAGTTGGAAAGATACAAAATTTGGGCAATATTGTTTATATGATGATATCTGCGGGTTTCCCCTTTGTTATGAGCACAACTGATGCGCACAACGGACTTTAATACAGCATCTTTAAAGTTAGCACTTTTTTCCATCCAGCAAACCGCCCTATCGATTTTGTAAAGTCATTTCTTTTTGGATTTTTTTATTAATTCGGTTAGGGTTAGGGTTGAGGTTAGAGTAGGGGTAGGGTTTGGGTTAGTTACATAGCGTATAACACCTCTTCTATCTTGCAGAAATGGTCAGTTTGCTGGATGGAAAATAGTGCCAACCATCTTTAAAGCTCTTCTCTCAAACCTATACTTTAATTTAATAGAGTCAGTAGACACTTTTGGATAACATTGTTTTATACATCTCGTTGCTACCCTATTCACAAATTTAGGTAAATCCCATGCCTATAAAGATTTTTTTCTTTGTTCATGGAATATATAAATATAATAATACGACTTTGCAACACCATTTTACATTTGTTTTAAAATTAATTTAAAGAAAGTAATTTTATCATGTTTGGTAAAAAGAAACAATGTACTTTTCTTGTATCTTTACAAAGGCGGTGCCACAATTTTGCCTGGGGGCCCGGGCCCATCTCTGGCTGTGTCTTATATGGATCACAGTAAGGGCACAATGCAGCTTAATGCACTAGTCAATTGAAACCCCAGCCCCAGACAAAATTCCTTATTTGTACTTATATAATTTTGTGCATACTTCACTTCAGTTTATAATATATGTCCATTAATTTCATGAATAATTACCGTACTATTATTTGAGGCAAGACTTTTGAAACGTGATGTTTTGTGGCTTTCGAAATGTGATTAGGTTACATGTGATTGATACACCGGGTGGAAAGCATAATTTAAAAATGAAAATTAAAGCCCAGCAAATGACTTTCAGACAAGACATAACAAAAATATAAAATTTATTGGCTAACATTTTGTTGTATTGTTCACAACATCTTCAGAGCATCGACATCTTCAGAGCAATTAAACTTATTTGCAAGTGTGTAAATAAGTTTAAGTTTAAACGATTTTTTCTGTGTTGGTGTAATGTACTCAGGTGAATATGATGCTTGTGATGTTACTCTGAGTGTATATCCACACTGGGCAAGCTTGAAAAATATGCCTCGATCCTTCCCACCGTGGTCAGGCATATTTTTCAAGCTTTTCAAGCTCAAGGTGTGTATATATATACACTCAGAGTAACATCACAAGCACCAAATTTTTAAACGGTTACATTATTCAAATAAGCAAATAAGAAGAAGGGATGAAAAACACCTATCATTAAAAATATTAGTAAATTAAAGATATAATATAAATAAAAGATATTATAAATTAAAGATATTATAAATTTTATATTTTTATTATGTCTTGTCTGAAAGTCATTTGCTGGGCTTTAATTTTCATTTTTAAATTAGGTTATGTGTGTGCATTAAATCCTGGCCATTCTACCCCAGCCTTTTTCATATGGTGTTAAACCCTGGCTATTATACCCGCTTTTATATCAGTGTTAAACCTGGGTATTGAAAAGGCAATGCTCTGTTAAAATGTTGTATTTCCTCCACAAAGTCCTGTTAACACCCGGCCTGGGGGGGGGGGGACTATCTCGAGCATAATAGGTTAACTACACACATGAGCAGTCTGATTATAAACACATTGAGTGACAGCTTGATAGTTTTTCAGGCATTTTATATGCTGGTAATAAATTGCTTTTTAAGAGTTTTTTGTATTATAATATTTTTTAATTAATTAAATTTAAGTTATAGTTTAGTTACGTACAGTACACTCAAAATCAAAAATGTCTATTCCTATATTGATTAAGTTTATTTTCTGTTTTCAGTCATCCTCCCAGTATTTATTGTTCTGTCAAGAGAACAATGAACTTCTCATGTTTACTCTAAAACAACTTGATCAAGTCACATTTCACAGCAATTGCGATGGCAGTGCTCCAGGCATCATCGAGATACTGGAGGAGGAATTTCTTGATAGAGTGAGTGTTTTATTTTATGCTACATTTTGGGGATGCCTATTATGTTCTAGCTGGTTCACACCAGAAATTTCGGTCACATGCCAAGGGCCTGAAGGTGGGGAACACCAGAGCACCCCAATTACACACGTAAAAACGCACAAGTTGTAACAAGTCCGCAAACAAGTTGTTACAAGTCTGTTCACAAGCTGTCAACAAGTTGTGTTCGCACTGCTTGTTCCCAGTTTGTATTAACAAGTTTGAAACAAGCTGTTTAAAACTTGTAACAAGCTCGATGGCATTATCAGACTTAATTGTTACAAGACTGTGCCAACAAGTTTGTTACAATAAGTTCTTTTGTATGTTTGCATGGCGATAAAACATATAATAGTTTTAATATACATATAATAATTTACACATATAATAAAATAATAATTTATTACTGCAAAGCTTTCGATCCGTAAGCTATAAGTTTGTTACAGCCATGATCGATATAACAAGGTTGTAACAATCTTTTTATATCAAGTAGGGTTGGTAGGTTTGCTGAATAATTAGGCCAAACACCATCACACTAGGCCTTTGTTTTCTTTGTCTTGGCCTTTTGTTTTCTAAATGACACTAATGATGATTTGGCCTAATTATTCATCAAACTTACCAACCCTGATATCAAGCATGTAATGGACTAATTGTTGAGAACAACCTTGCAACAAGTCTGATAATTTCAACAAGGTTGTTACAAGTTGTTCCAAACCTGTTGACAACTTGTGACAAGCAGTACAAATACATCTTGTTGACGGCTTGTTGGCAGACTTGTTACAAGATGTGAGATTTTTGTGTGTGTAGGTTTACAACATATTTTTCAATAATTCAAAATTTACCCTAAGTCACTGCAAACTTTCTGGAAGTGATCAAAATGTTTTCTTTCATCAAAACAATCACGTTCGACTTATAAAAACATGTTTTGCAACTTACATTTTAAAATTTTGGTCAAATGCCAAAGGGGGGAGGGCGGCCGCAACAAACTCGTCCAGATTTTTTAGTTATTTTTCAATAATTCTCAAATATTCCCCCAAATCACTCCAGACCTTCTGGAAGTGATCGAAATGTTTTCTTTGGTCCAAATGATGACTTTCGACTTGAAAGAATATTTTACAAAATTTTAAAATTTTGGTCGAATGCCAGAGGGCGGGGGAGGGCACAGTGATGGCTCCGGTACTTGAGTTATTTTTTTATCCCCAAATCACTACAACAAAACATGTTGTACAAAATTTGACATTTTCAATGAAATACCAAGAGGGGACCACAGGCATCCTCTCAGCTTTTCAATTTTTCAAACCATTGATTCAACCTAAGCTGTCATATCAACTGATCATGAATATGTTTTCTTTTCCAGGCAAGACAGATCACTTTATGGAAGTGACATGTTTTCTAAGAACAGATTTGTGGATGACAAAAAAAGAAAGCTTATCATTCAGACATTGCGAGAAGCCCTAATAATGTTAACATATATGTAAGATAATGAATGGAGACATCAATCTGTCTTAGGCATTGAGAACTATAACCAAACAAACCTTACCAAATCAGGTATTATACAAACTATAACTTTCTTTCTGTATATGATAATTAATGCAAGTATTCACCATATTTTAAATACAAAAATGAGAAAATCGCCCATTGGATTCTGAGGCTCTCTTGATCTTTTTAAGCAGCAATGCGCCCTGATTGATGCCCCCTACTCTATTATTTTACTCTGTGTAACGCCAGATTATTTTATGTCAGATGATTTTACTTGTAGTAAGGATTTAATGGTGAGTGGGCGAGAATTAGTATGTGGTACATACTGTTAACCCATTATTGCCCTTTCCTTAATTCTTATGAACAAAAAATAAAAAGGATAGCCTTTGTCGACATAACCTTAAGCGGTCAGCTTTTACTTTTCGTCAAAAACATTTTAATGTGCATCGTTTTTTAATAATTTCATCCGAGACGAGAATGAGTTAAGTAGAATAAAAAAGAAGTTAAAGTAAGTGTTGGCAAGACGGTCTAGTGGTAAGGACAATTAAGTGTTGCAAGTGCGTGAAGCTAGGTTCGATTCCTGGTTGTATCAAAAACTTTTTAATGTCAGACATCGTTTTTTAATAATTTCATCCGAGACGAGAATGAGTTAAGTAGAATAAAAAAGAAGTTAAAGTAAGTGTTGGCAAGACGGTCTAGTGGTAAGGACAATTAAGTGTTGCAAGTGCATGAAGCTAGGTTCGATTCCTGGTTGTATCAAAAACATTTTAATGTCAGACATCGTTTTTTAATAATTTCATCCGAGACGAGAATGAGTTTTAAGTAGAATAAAAAAGCAGTTAAAGTAAGTGTAGGCAAGACGGTCTAGTGGTAAGGACAATTAAGTGTTGCAAGTGCGTCAAGCTAGGTTCGATTCCTGGTTGTATCAAAAGCAATTTAATGTCAGGCATCGTTTTTTAATAATTTCACCCGAGACGAGAATGAGTTAAGTAGAATAAAAAAGCAGTTAAACTAAGTGTAGGCAAGATGGTCTAGTGGTAAGGACAATTAAGTGTTGCAAGTGCGTCAAGCTAGGTTCGATTCCTGGTTGTATCAAAAACTTTTTAATGTCAGACATCGTTTTTAATAATTAAAAAGCAATTTTTTTCCAGCTGCATGCGCAATCGAAAAAGACGTGAAAGTTAATATTATGCTGTTTCGAACCTTATGTTCTATTGAATTTCAAGGCTCCTGTAGCAGAGACTTGAATTTGGGCTGGTATGAAAATTGTATTTTTGGAATCTATGATCAATAGGCTTTCTGTCGATGCCTTACTCGTGCATCACTAGACTTGTCCGTGGACGTAAACGGCAGGTTTCTCCAGCTGTGTAAGCGAAAAAAACGTGAAAGTTAATATTATGCCGTTTCGAACCTTATGTTCTATTGAATTTCAAGGCCCCTGTAGCAAAAACTTGAATTTGGCACGGTCTGAAAATTGTATTTTTGGAATCTACGGTCAATAGGCTTTCTGTTGATGCCTCATTCTTGCATAACTAGAGAGTCCGTGGACATAAAAAGCAAGTTTTTCCACCTGTGTAATCGAAAAAGACGTGAAAGTTAATATTATGCCGTTTCGAACCTTATGTTCTATTGAATTTCAAGGCCCCTGTAGCAAAAACTTGAATTTGGCACGGTCTGAAAATTGTATTTTTGGAATCTACGGTCAATAGGCTTTCTGTTGATGCCTCATTCTTGCATAACTAGAGAGTCCGTGGACATAAAAAGCAAGTTTTTCCACCTGTGTAATCGAAAAAGACGTGAAAGTTAATATTATGCCGTTTCGAACCTTATGTTCTATTGAATTTCAAGGCCCCTGTAGCAAAAACTTGAATTTGGCACGGTCTGAAAATTGTATTTTTGGAATCTACGGTCAATAGGCTTTCTGTTGATGCCTCATTCTTGCATAACTAGAGAGTCCGTGGACATAAAAAGCAAGTTTTTCCACCTGTGTAATCGAAAAAGACGTGAAAGTTAATATTATGCCGTTTCGAACCTTATGTTCTATTGAATTTCAAGGCCCCTGTAGCAAAAACTTGAATTTGGCACGGTCTGAAAATTGTATTTTTGGAATCTACGGTCAATAGGCTTTCTGTTGATGCCTCATTCTTGCATAACTAGAGAGTCCGTGGACATAAAAAGCAAGTTTTTCCACCTGTGTAATCGAAAAAGACGTGAAAGTTAATATTATGCCGTTTCGAACCTTATGTTCTATTGAATTTCAAGGCCCCTGTAGCAAAAACTTGAATTTGGCACGGTCTGAAAATTGTATTTTTGGAATCTACGGTCAATAGGCTTTCTGTTGATGCCTCATTCTTGCATAACTAGAGAGTCCGTGGACATAAAAAGCAAGTTTTTCCAGCGGCATGTGTAATCGAAAAAGACGTGAAAGTTAATATTATGCCTTTTCGAACCTTATGTTCTATTGAATTTCATGGCCCCTGTAGCAAAAACTTGAATTTGGCACGGTCTGAAAATTGTATTTTTGGAATCTACGGTCAATAGGCTTTCTGTTGATGCCTCATTCTTGCATCACTAGATTTGTCCGTGGACATAAAAAGCAAGTTTTTCCAGCTGCATGTGTAATCGAAAAAGACGTGAAAGTTAATATGCCTTTTCGAACCTTATGTTCTATTGAATTTCATGGCCCCTGTAGCAAAAACTTGAATTTGGGCTGGTATGAAAATTGTATTTTTGGAATCTATGATCAATAGGCTTTCTGTTGATGCCTTACTACGAGTAAGTTACGTCCACGGACAAGTCTAGTGATGTACGAACATCACTAGACTTGTCCGTGGACGTAAAAAGCAAGTTTTTCCAGCTGCATGTGTAATCGAAAAAGACGTGAAAGTTGATATTATGCGGTTTCGAACCTTATGTTCTATGCGCTTGTCACTTTACAAAAATGAAATAAGCGGCGAAAATGGACGAAAATTAAGGCTATAACCTTACTTTTTTCTTATTTTTTGCCACTTTTTCAAAAATTAAATGAGTCGCGAAAAATGGACGAAAAGTTAAGGGTATAGCCTTACTTTTTTGCCATTTTTTGACACCTGTTCAAAATGAAATAAGCGGCGAAAAGTGAACGAAAAGTTAAGGCTATAGTCTTACTTTTTTGTCATTTTTGCCACTTTTTCAAAAGGTTCCTGGCGCTGAGGACAATGTTCCAGGCGCTGAGGACAAGGTTCCGGTGAGGACAAGGTTCCTAGCGTGGTACCCGTGTGATTGAGGAAGTGGTTTCCGTGTGATTGAGCCTACTGTGTCAATCCCACAGGTATTTTTCTATTCTTTTAAAAAAAAACGTCTTGGGCTACCTGTGCCTTGTCTTGGGCTACTGTTCCAACGCACAGGTAACCCAAGACATTGATTTTTTTATTTCTTTCGACGGTGAAGGCAAGGTTCCTGGTGTGGTTCCCGTGTGATCGAGGACGTGGTTCTCGTGTGATTGAGGACGTGGTTCTCGTGTGATTGAGGACGTGGTTCCCGTGTGATTGAGGACGTGGTTCCCCTTGTGATTGATTATTTTTCTATTTCTTTTGAAAAAAAAAAGTCTTGGGCTACCTGTGCCTTGTCTTGGGTTACCTGTGTCCAACGCACAGGTAACCCAAAACATCGATTTTTTTATTTCTTTCGACGGTGAGGACAAGGTTCCTGGTGTGGTTCCCGTGTGATCGAGGACGCGGTTCTCGTGTGATTGAGGACGTGGTTCCCCTTGTGATTGATTATTTTTCTATTTCTTTTGAAAAAAAAAACGTCTTGGGCTACTGTGCCTTGTCTTGGGCTACCTGTGTCCAACGCACAGGTAACCCAAGACATCGATTTTTTTATTTCTTTCGACGGTGAGGACAAGGTTCCTGGTGTGGTTCCCGTGTGATTGAGGACGTGGTTCCC